TTCTTACACGATATCTTATTTGCCAAAATCAGCCTTATCTTGGCAGTCACTAGCCCCGCCCACCCACCTTCTCTTTCCTTAGAAGGTATATCATTTGCCAAAATCACTTGTAACTTAGCAGGTTCTAGCGCCGCCCACCCACCCTCTCTTTTCTTAGAAGGTATGTCATTGCCAAAATTAGTTTTATCTTAGCAAGTACTGAGGACTAGCTTTTACAAAAAATGTTCAAATTTGGAAACATTACGAGCTTACTTATATGCAAGAATTTTGAACAGTTGTGTTTAGTTGGTTTGATGACTTCATTTCAAAATTTTGGCAGGTAAATCCTATCCAAAGTTTAAATAATATAATAATAATATGCGGTTGTAAGTATTTTGTATTTTAACGTTACGCGTGCAGGTTTTTGGAAATTTTTGCACTTTTTAAAAAAATTTTGAATTTTCGACTATTTTTTGAGCACACTTTGGAAATTACGAAGATATTTCAATAAGAACTCATTTTTGTTAATTTCTTTGAAAATTACAAGAATTTTTTTAAAATCGATGAAATAAGAAATGAGAATTTTTCAGATGTGCAAAAACTTCATTTCAAAATTAATTTTTCGAAAATCTGGGAATTAGCTTGTTGAATTTTTTGAGAATTTTTAGGACAACTTCAAAATTTTGAATTTTTGACCGTTTTTCGACCCCCTTTGAAAATTACGAAAGTCGTTTTCTTGTAGAAGTTATTTTCGGCTTCATTTCTTCGAAAATTATAACAATTTTTTCAAAATAGACAAAATGAAAGATGACAAATTTCGTGATGGGTAGAAATTCCTTTAAAAAAAAGTTTCGAAAATCTTGGTCATCATCATCAATCATCAAGAAATTATGTTTTTCGAATCAGCTGGTCGAAATGTATTGTTCAGAAATTTTTGGTTACTTTTCAAAAATCTCAATTTTTCTTCTAATGAATTCAGAACGTATTGAATTTTTTTAAATTACCTGAAGAATTTTTTTTAGATTTTAACTTGCAGAAGTGATTTTTGAATTCATTTCTTCAAAAATGTTAGTAATTTTTTCAAAATCAATAAAATGAAAACTTACAATTTTCGAGATATTAAAAAAAAACAAATAAATTTTCAAACCAAATTTTTCGAAAATCTTGGCGCCGAACTGTCAACAAGTTGTTTTTCGAATCATTGCTCGAAATGTATTTCCCAGAATTTCTAGGCAACTTTTAAAAAACTCAAAGTTTCCAGTGAATTCACGCCGTATGAATTTTTGATAATTTTGCCAGCAACCTCTTAAAAAGTTATTTTTGACTTTGATTTTTCGAAAATTTAAACAATTTTTTCAAAATTGATAAAATAAAAATAACAATTTTTGGGATATTAAAAAAAATTATTTTCAATCTGAATTTTTCGAAAATCTTGTCCCTGAACCATCAAAAAATCGTATTTTGAATTAGCTCCTCGAAATGTACAGAATTTTTTGGGCATTTTTGGGCAATTTTTTAAAAGTCTCAATTTTTCAAAATTTTGATTTGTTTTTCGAAAATCTGGGTCGGGACATCAACAAATTATTCTTGTCGAAGTCAGGTCATCGAAATGAATTCCGCAGATTTTTTTAGGAAACTCTAGGAAACTTTTCAAAAATCTGAATTTTTCAAAATTTTGAATTTTGTTGAAGATTTCGTTTTGTACAAGTTATTGTTGCCTTCATTTTTTACGCTTCTAAACTTTTGCAAAAAAATCAACATTTTTCAGAAAATTAAAAAATTTATCTTAAAAGTTATAAAATTTGAATAATCTGAAATCTGAAAATGTAAACAAACGCCTTACTTTTTTAATTCTCGAGTGTATTTTATTTTATTAGAATACCTACATATTTATCAATAATAATATCTCATTTGTGATTTTAATATTCTATTATTATTGTTGATGGTTTTTACGAAACGTTAGTCCAAGGTTATTTAAATAGAACTTCCCTTGTCTCTGACGTACAGTTCAACAAATTCCGATTTTATTTTTAAAAGAATTTGTGACTCTCTCTTTGTGTGTTTGGTTCTTGAGTTCGTGTTTTGTTTCTGATACATTTGAAACCATTTTGGGAGGCCCTGGTGTTTTAATTTATAGAGGATTTTAAAGAATATCAGAGGTCCTTGGTGTTTTATTTTTGAAAAAATAAAAAAAACTTATGAGTCTCTGGTGTTGTATTTTTGAATAATGTAGGAATCTCAAGGCTCCGTAATGCTTTATTTTTGAAAGAATGTAAAGAATATCAGCTGCCTGTAATGTTTTATTTTTGAACAATTTGGTAAAAAAGCTCAGAGGAGTTTTATATTTAAAAGAACTCATGAATTTCGGTTTTCGTAGTGTTTTATTTTTTAAAGAATTTAAAGAATCATTGGTGTTGCCGTTTTAAAGAATCTAAGAATCTCAGGGGCTTCTAGTGTTTTATTTTTGTAAACATTTTAAAGAATCTTGGGGGACCTTTGATGTTTCAATTTTCAAAAAATTTAAGAATCTCAGGGGTCTCTAGTGTTTAATTTTGAAGGGAATTTTAAAGAATCTCAGGGACCCCTGTTCTTTTATTTTTGAAAGAATTTTAAAAATCTTGGAGGACTTTTGGTGTTTCAGTTTTAAGGAATTTAAGAATCTCAAGGGACTCTGACATTTTAAAAAATCGCAGGGGTCCCAGGGATTTTATTTTTGAAAGAATTGTAAGAATCTTGGCAGACCTTTGATGTTTTAACTTAAAGAATCTCCGTGTTCTAAATTTAAAACTATTTAAAAAAGGAATTTAAGAACCCTAGAGATCTCTAGTGTGTTATATTTAAAAGGATTTTAAAGAATCTCAGGGACCGTTGGTGTTTTATTTTTGAAGAAATTTAAAGAATCTGAATCACCCCTAGTGCTTTTTCCTTAAACAACTAAAGAATATCAGCGGCTTGTAATGTTTTATTTTGGAACAATTTGTGAAAAAAGCTCAGAGGTGTTTTATTTTTAACAGAACTTATGAATTTCGGGGTTTCGTAGTGTCTTATTTTTGAAAGAATTTAAAGAATCATTGGTGTTGCCATTTTAAAAGAATCTAAGAATGTTAGGGACTTCTAATGTTTTATTTTTGAAAACATTTTAAAGAATCTTGGGGGACCTTTGGTGTTTCAATTTTCAAAAAATTTAAGAATCTCAGGGGCCTCTAGTGTTTATTTTTGAAAGAATTTTAAAGAACCTCAGGGACCCCTGTTGTTTTATTTTTGAAATAATTTAAAGAATCTTGGAGTACCTTTGGTGTTTCAATTTTAAAGAATTTACGAATCTCAGGGGACTCTGGGCTTTGATTTTTGAAAACATTTTGGCGGGGGTATCGGATGTTTTATTTTTGAAAGAATTGTAAGAATCTTGACGACAGCCTTTGATGTTTTAACTTAAACAAAATTAAGAACCTCAGAAGCCCCTGATGCTTTATTTTTGAAAGAATTTAAAAAATCTTGGGGAACCTTTACCATTTCAATAAAAAAAAAGAAATTCAAGAATCTCAGTGCCCTCTAGAAGTACCCGATGTTTTGTTTTGGAAAGTATTAGAAAGAATTTTTGGGTTGCCTTCGGTGTTTAATTTGAGCCAATCTGACCTGATAATTTATTATTTTATGTTTCTCTGCTATGTTTCTCGAGTTTGATTTAGACGATTCATATTCTGTGAAGTTTAAGGGAAATTAGAAACCATTATAACTTATGATATATTTTTCGTTTACATTTATTGAATAATTTTTTGAAATATCGTCATCATTTTTCTCGAGGAATGTTAAAACTCAGGTAAATAAGAAATCTTTTAAGTGGGATTTGTTATGAATCTGTTATTTGAAGACATGAAAAAAAAATTCTTCAATGAAATTGATAAAATTGCGCTATTTCGTGGGCGGGGTAAGTCCCTCTCTTGAGGAGTCTTTTCGTCACGGGTGGTGAAAAATTGCGGCTTTCTGCGTGATCCGCTCGTAGAAGAAGGAATTGGGTCCTCGGCGTAATCGCGATCAACAAAAATCAGCAGAAATGATCAGTTTTGACGTGTGTTCTTTATCCGTGTTGACATCTAATTGACGACACGTCTTGAACTATATACCAGACTATGCAGACAATTGTCGCGTTAGAAAATCTATAACTCAGCTCAAAATCCAACTTTTTTTACTTTTATTTTAAAGACTTAATTACAGCTATTGCTCCTGAAATACTTCACTGCGCAAGGAATATTGAATCAAAATTATCTCAAATAATGCACCACACTTCGCATATATGATGAATAGTAATTTTTATAACTGTCGATAATATTTATGCGCTTAACGACATTGAACTTAATACAACGTAAACATAGTCTTTAGCTAAACCATATTTTCTCATCTATGATAAGAACAAGTCGGTTAAATACAGGCTTGAGGCGACCATCATTCCATTGCTCTTTAAAGTGAATAAATAGAGCAAAACCAGAAATATAGTGATTTAAACTTTATTTGTTTTACAAACCGGGAACAGTTTTATTAACATTTTCAAAATTATTAATCACAGACTTGGTTACAAAACGTGGTGATTAAGTAAACGATCTACCATGTCGTTATCCTGAACAAAAAGATAATTTAAAGCCGTCGAAAAAAACTAAATTACTAGCATTGTGCGGCCGAGAAAAAAGTTTAAGCTCGAACTAAACGATCTCCGTTTTGTAGAAAAATTGAATCATGTGGGTTGAGCTTCATCATGAGATATCTAATGTAGCACTTAAGCCTTGGGGCAATTTAGCGATTTACAATTACGCTAAATTACAAAAGCGAGTCGAGATATGCGCATTATTAAAACCGATCTTTGTAAATTCGACGATCTCGAAAATAATTTTTGCGAGATTCTGTTAGAAGGCGGATTTCCGTAATAAATAAACGCGAAAACTTCGCTTGCCTCGAAATAATTGATTAAGTGTTTTGACGTACGGAATGGGAGAATTAATGTAAGTTTCGTTTTCCTCCACTTCCAGGGCAAGCAGATTTATTACCAAACATTAGTAATAGAAAACGAAGAAAATGTGGAGGGATTGCCCACACCCAAGTTAATTCGGGAAACTCTGCACGTTAAGTGTTCGATGCTATCCTTAAGGAACCACACCATCAGCAAGAGGGACGTGCTGCCAGCGGGATTCCAGGAGGCCGAGTGAGTAAAAAATTCTTATTTATTTTAGAAGATGTACGAATTTCAGCTTGTGTCGGTAAAAGCGTCACGCAACATTAATCAAAAAAGAACCTTTCAGGAATAATTTTCCGCAAGATTTTTTTTATGTACGTCTTTACTTCCAATGCAAATTTAGACCTAATTCATCCGAGTTATAGACTCCACCCGTAAATTAATTCACCCCTAAGCGAATAAAAATCATTTTTATAGAGATGCGGATCTCCAGTTTATGAATATCTCAGAATATCGTGCTCCAGAACCCATTCTGGGAGTCGGAGTAAGACAAGCCGGGAAATTGGTTACCGGAGAATTGAACGTATCGCCCGGAACTCCGCTCCAGATGGAGATTTTCCTCGACAAAGCGTCAGCTCCCATTTATGGGCTCTTGGTGACACATATGCAAGTCACCGATACGAATTCGCAAGAAGAGACGATCATCTATAATGGGTAAGTGCATGGGCGGTGGTGGGCTGAAATATTTGCCAATATTCCATTATGGGATTATGGGGTTTTTGACTCTGTGGGAAGCGGGTTTTCATGATGGCGGAGAGTTTAATGTCTTGGAAATGGAACGTGTGTCAGGTTAATTCCATGACAGTTTGTTCAATGTGGGTTGGTTTTTTTTAATCATTACTTCTTCGGAAAGCGGTTTTTGCGAACGCGATTTCTTAAAATTTTAACAGCTGGGAGTTGGGTAAAACTGGATGCGAACACATGGTTTTTCTGTTGTTATAATGCAACAAGAATGACAAGTAATTAAGTAATAAAAAATTCATAATTTTTAATTTTTTTAAAAACTATATTCAATTCAACAGAAAATTTGACAAAAACTAGATTCTAGGAGCAATTTTGAAATTTTGTGGGTGATGACCCTAAAGTTACAGCGTTGTCAACAAGTTTTCAATGAAAACGGAAATTTTTATCACACGTTTTAAGTTACACCCAAAACAATTTAATCAACCAAAATATTAGATTTTTTTTAAATTGATGACCTTTGTAAAATGCCTTTTGAAAATGAGTATAAATTATATACATATTTTGTACGTATGTGGTGAAAACAAACTTTTTTCACGGGCCAAACACATTATTTTTTCTAACTGTCAAATAGTAAATAAAATAATATAATTCTATTCTACTCTATTCAAAAATCTTGGTCCTCACCATGAAGAATGTACTCGTATATTTCTTAAACCAGCCTGTGGAAATGTATTTCGCAGAATTTTTTGAGAACTTGTCAACTTTTCAAAAATCTCAATTTTTGTAAATTTCGACTTGTAGAGGTTATTTTTGCTTCATTTAAAATGAAAAATTATAACTTTTGGAATGTATAAAAATCATATTTTCAACTTAAACTCTTGGAAAATCTTGGTCCTGACTATCATCAACAAGTTATGTTTCTTGAAGCACCTCATTTAAACGTATTTCGCATAATTTTTTGAAACATTTTAGGCAACTTTTCAAAAATCTTAATTTTTCAAAATTTTAAGTTTTCGAGTGTTTTTGGTGCACTTTTTGAAAATGACTTTTATGTAGATTTCGGCTTGAAGAAGTTATTTTTACTTAATTTTTTCGAAAATTTAAGCAATTTTTCCATAATCGATAAAATGAAAAGTGACAACTATTGAGATTTGTAAAAATTTCATTTTAAAAGTGAATTTTTCGAAAATGTTGATTCAAAACCATCTAAAACTTACACTTTTAAAATTTGTTGGTAGAAATGCATTTCCTAGAAGTTTCCGTGAATTTTTCAATAACCTCAATTTCCAAAATTTTGAATTTTCCACTGTTTTTGGTGCATTTTTCGGAAACTATTTTTATGTAGATTTCGGCTTGAAGAAATTATTTTTGCTTAATTTTTTCGAAAATTTAAACAATTTTTCCAAAATCAATAAAATGAAAAATGACAACTATGTATTGAAATTTGCAAAAATTTCATTTTAAAAGTGAATTTTTCGACAATCTTGATTCAAAACCATCGAAAACTTACATTTTTAAAATCTGTTGGTAGACATGCATTTCCTAGAAATTTTCGTCAATTTTTCAATAAGCTCAATTTCCAAAATTTTGAAATTTTGCCTGTTTTTGGTGCATTTTTCTGAAATTACTTTTATGTAGATTTCGGCTTGAAAAAATTATTTTTGTTTAATTTTTTCGAAAATTCAAATTCAAATGAAAAATGACAACTATTGAAATTTGCAAAAATTTCATTTTAAAAGTGAATTTTTCGACAATCTTGATTCAAAACCATCGAAAACTTACATTTTTAAAATCTGTTGGTAGACATGCATTTCCTAGAAATTTTCGTCAATTTTTCAATAACCTCAATTTCCAAAATTTTGAATTTTCGACTGTTTTTGGTGTATTTTTCTAAAATTACTTAAATGTAGATTTCGGCTTGAAGAAGTTATTTTTGCTTATTTTTTTCTAAAATTCAAGCAATTTTTCCAAAATCGATAAAATGAAAAATGACAACTATTGAGATTTATAAAAATTTCATTTTAAAAGTGGAAATATGTATAGCAGAATTTTTTGGGATATTTTCGACAACTTTTCAAAAAACCCATTTTTAAAATTTTGAATTTTGTAGATTTCGACTTATAGAAGTTATTTTCGTCTTTATTTTTCAAAAAATTCCAACAATTTTTCCAAAATCAATAAAATAAAATGAAAAATGGACAAGTTTCGAGATAGGCAAAATTGTCATTTACAAATTGAATTTTTCGAAAATCTTGGTCTAGAACCATTAACAAGTCCAGTTTCTGAATCAGGTAGTCGAGAAGTATTTCCTAGAATTTTTAGACAACTCTTCAAAAGCTCAAATTTCCAATAAATTTAGTCATTAATGAATTTTTAATAATTCTTGTACCACTCTTTGAAAATGATCTAAGTTCATTTCCTTGTAGATTTTGACTTGTAGAGATTTTTTAAACAATTTTTCCAAAATCGATAAGTTCATCTTATCTATTTTTTTTTTAATAATTTTTGAGATATTTGAAAAAATCGTTTTCAAAGTGCATTTTTCGAAAATCTTGGTCCGGCACTATTGAAAAAAATACGTTTTGCGAATCAGCTCATTGAAATGTATTCCGCAGAATGTTTTGAGGATTTTTAGACAACTTTTCCAAAATCCCAATTTTTCAAAATTTTGAATTTATGACTGTTTTTGGGAGACCTTTCGAAAATTACGCAAAAACACTTTTCTGTGGATAAGTAATTTTTGCCTCATTTTTTCGAAAATTCCAACAATTTTTTCAAAATCGATAAAATGAAAATGACAGCAATTTTTGAAGTTTATAAAATTTTTTTTACAAAGTGGTGTTTTTCAAATCAGTTCGTATAAATGTATTTCCTGGAATTTTTCCACAATTTTTCAAAAATCTCAATTTTTCCAGTAAATTCAGAACTTATGAATTTTTGATAATCCTTCGAGCACTCTTTCAATATTGTCTACATGCATTTCCTGGTAGACTTCGACTTTTAGAGATTTTTTAAATAGTTTTTCCAAAATCGATAAGATGAAAACTGATACATTTTTTTAGATATTTAAAAAATTTCATTTTCAAAGTAAATTTTTCGAAAATCTTACTCCGAGATGTGAAACAAATTATGTTTTCGAAATCAGCTCGTTGAAATGTATTTCGTAAAATTTTTTGAGAATTTTTAGGCAACTTTTTAAAAGTCCCAAATTTTCAAAATTTTGAATTACCTAGACATTTGCTAATAGGCTTATTGTTGACCTCATTTCTTCGAAAATTGAAACATTTTTTCCAAAATCGATAAAATAAAAGTTGAAAATTTTGGAAATATTTAAAAAATTTCATGTTTGAAGTAAATTTTTCATCATCAACTATCAATAAATTATGGTTTGTGGATCCGATCATGGAAATATGTCTAGCAGATTTTTTTGAAAATTTTTTTACAACTTTTCAAGAATATAATTCGAATTTTTTACTGTTTCACGTGCACCCTCCGAAAAATACCCAAAAACATTTTCTTGTAGACTTCGATTTATAGAAGAAGTTATTTTCTCCTTCATTTTTCCGAAAATTCCACCGATTTTTCCAAAATCGATGAAGTAAAATGAAAAATGACAATTTTCGAGATAGGTAAAAATTTCATTTACAAACTAAATTTTTCGAAAACTTGCTTCCGGACCATTAATAAGTTGTGATTTTGGAATTAGTTAGTTGAAATGTATTTTCTAGAATTTTTAGACAATCTTTAAAAAAACTTAATTTTTCCAATAAATTAAGTCCGTATGAATTTTTGACAGTTTTTCGAGTATCTTTGAAAACTGCCTCAAGGTAATTTTCTTGTAAATTTTGATTTATAGGAGTTATACTTTTCCAGAATTGTTAAAATGAACAATGACAATTTTCGAATTATTTAACTTCCATTTCTACACAGAAATTTTCAAAAATTTTGCTTCGGTACCATCAACAAATTGTGTTTTTTGAATCAGTTCCGAAATGTAGTTATTTTTTCAGGATTTTAAGGTAATTTTTCAAAACTTTGCAGTATTATTCAATAAATATGAATTTTTTACCGTTTTCCCAGGACACTTTGAATACTGTCTAAAAATGTATTTTCCAAAATTTTTTGAGAACTGTCAGATAATTTTTTAAAAATCTCAGTTTTTAAAAACTTTGAACTTTAACTGTTTTCAATTTCGCCTTCATTTATTCCAAAATTTCAACAATTTTTCCAAAATCGATAAAATGAAAAATGACGAGTTACCAGATAAATAATAAAATTTCATTTTCAAACTGAATGTTTCTAAAATCTTGGTCCAGAATAAAAAAAATCCTTTTCGAATCAGTTCGTCGAATGTATTTCCTAGAATATTTAGGCAACTTTTCAAAAATCTTAATTTTTCCAATAAGCCTGTATCAATTTTTGTCCATTTTTCGAATATTTACGAACGACATTTTTTTGTATTTTTCAAAATTTTGAATTTTTGACTGTTTTTCGAGCACCCTCTGAAAAATACCCAAAGACGTTTTCTTGTAAATTCAACTAATAGAAGTCACTTTCGTCCCCATTTCTTCGAAAATTTCGGTAATATGTATTTCTAAAATCGATTAAATCAAAAATTAAAATTTTCGAAACAGTAGAAATTTAATTTTTCGACAGTCTTGTCCATCAACAAATTGCGTTTTTCCAATCAGCTCGTCCAAATGTAGTTCTCGGATTCTTTTGGTATATTTTGCAATTTTTCAGAAACCTCAATTTTTCAATATCGTCCAGATTTTTGAACTGAATTTTGAGCACCATTCGAAAATTATCTGAAGAGAATTTCTTATAGATTTTGACTTTTAGAAATTCTGTTTCATTTCCTCAAAAAATCCAGCAATATGTATTACTAGAATCGACAAAACCAAAAATGACAATTTTGGAATAATATTTTAAAAAGTCCCATTTTCAAACCGAATTTTTGGAAATCTTGGTTCAGGAGCATGCATTTCGAGTCAGCACATCGATTTTTTTGCCAACTTGTTAAAAATTTCAATTTTTCGATATAAGTATATGAATTTTTTACATTTTTTGCAGAATTCGACATCTAAAAGTCATTTTTTAGAAAATTCCCACAAGTTTTCCACAAATTAAAACAATTTTTTTTGGAGTGAGTTCCAATGGTTTCGAAAATCGCTAATATGGGAAATAAAAAAAATTGTGAATGCAAATTAATTAATGAATAAGTAAACACAGTGGAAACGTCAAATAAAGAAAACCAATAGAAATCGCAAACATACGAATTTACAAATTAATTAAATACAGCAAAACTCTTTAAAACCAAGTAAGATTATTGCTTTCGCAATAGCTTAAACAAATTTGTTTTGAGACGTTTAAAATGATTTTTTATTTCTTAAGTGGCCATACGACTATTAGTACGTTATACGACTATAGAAAAAAACTTATCTTTGTTTTTATTTATGCTTTTAATGGCTATATTAAAATTAGTCCCATTTTTTCCGAAAAAGGAAGCTAAAAATTAAAAATTCGAACCGTAAAAATATTAAATACTGTTAGCGAAGTATCTTCAGCAAACACCGTTACTGTGGGCGAGGGTAGGCAACCAACAATGTTTGCCAATTATACTTTGGCGTTCCTATAATAAAATTTGCGTGTTAACCTTTTCGAATATACTTTTTTGGCTATAGAAGAGTAGAATGCCCGAACAAATATTTATTCCCCGTGTTTATCGCTTTTCGCTAATTATATCTGCCTCCGCGATTAGAGCGTGTGCGTGAGAGAGACAAATAAACCATCGAAAAGTTATTTTTCCGCTTGTTGGCGAACCACCCACTCACAAAATTTCCAATAACGAGGAAATAAATTTACAGGAAAATGAAGTTCTAATCTGCAAAATTTTATTAATTTTCATGAAGAAGCCTAACTTTTCTGATTAAAATATAACGAGCAAACTCACAATAATCAGTTTTGGGTCTTAAGCTTTCAGCCGCTCAGTTAAATTTTAATTCTTTAATGTATTTTTAATTATGCACGAGTTTCCGGGATAAGCCTAAAATTAAAATACTAAACATTAACTCGAAAAGAGCCTTTTACTCTTGGACAAAGAGCGGAACACGACTCTGGTAATTTTTCGCCGACTATTAATTATAATTCGGGGCTAATTTCCCAACTTTCCCAATTAATCACCAGCTCGTTCAAACTTTGCTTGTTATAATTTTTCAGGTGTTCGGTCGATCCCTATTTATTCGAAAACTTCAACACGGTGGACGGAGATTTCCTGGCCGCCAAATTCCGGGCCTTCAAGTTCCCGGAGTCGACGTACGTCCAGTTCAAAGGGACGGTGAACGTGTGTCTGGACAAGTGCAAAGGGGTGAGTGCAGCGGGGTTAATTTTAATTACAGACGAGTTAAATCTAGTTGAATATTCATAAATACGCGAATAATATTAATATTGCAGACCAGTAGTTGTTTTATTGGTGCTAACATGAATATTCAGGATGGAACCAAACTTTATTATCCCAACACCTATTAGTGTTTATATTCACTTCGAAATTATTTTAGCCATATAGGGATTCAATTTTTGCTGCAATAAAACGTATTTTAATTAAAGTTTCCGATGAAACAACAGATTAAAACGATAATGGAACGGTACAAGGTGTAAAAGGGGCGTTGCGGTTTTGCGTAAAATGTGAGAAGTTTGCTGTGGATTCTGTACAGGTAGACCACAAAAACAATAAGCGGTGGGCGTTTGGAACTTCGGATAAACTTTATCGCTATTGCGAAACACTTGAAGGCATTTGCAAGTACAGGCATCGGCGGTCTTATATTAATTTAATATTGACGAAATTTCCTTCGCCTAAACTAAATTAAATACACACAATCTTTAAAATCTCTTAAATTCTCACGTTTCGCCACTAAATTCGAAATTCTTCTAGGTGCAAAGTATGTATTTATAAATGTTCAAATATTTGCAAGTTTTTTATATTCTACAAGCATCCCCAGTCTTATTAATTTAATATTGACGAAATTTCATCAGCTTGAACTAAATTAAACACACAAAAAGAATTACACTCTCAAATTAGTTAGAACTAAAAATTTTGTCGGTTAATCCTGTTTGTTTTCGTTAAATTTTCTCAGACAACAGTTTTTTCAAAATCAATAGAACGAGAAATGATAATTTCGACTTTTAGAAATTACATTTTTCCTGAATCGTTAAAATGAAAAACGGTAAATGTCGCGATTTTTTAAAAATTCCATTTTCACAGCGAAATCCTCGAAAATCTTGCTCCAGCAGGACTATCAACAAATTATGTTTTTTTTAATTTCTTCGTAATTTAGTTTCCAAAATTTTTTGAGGATTTTAACACAACTTTTCAAAACTTTCAAATTTTCGATAAGTACGAATTTTCCACCGATTTTCCAGTACCCTTTGAAAACTACTTAAGACAGTTTGTCACAGATTGTAACAGTTATTTTTGGGTTCCTTTTTTCGAAAATTGAAACAATCTTTCTAAAATCTATAAAATGAAAACTTCGACCTATTTTTTCAAAAATTTATTTTCAGACGGAATTTTTCGAATTTGCATCTGCTCGAAAACTGTTGACCTTTTATCGAGCATCCTTCGAAAATTATCCAAAGACACTTTTATAAATTTTCGTCTTCATTTCTTGGAAAATTTCAACAATTTTTTAAAAATCGATAAAATGAAAAATGACGATTTTCGAAATAATTAAAAATGTCATTTTTAAACTGAATTTTTCGAAAATCTTGATTCAGGACCATCAACAAATTATGTTTTTCGAATTAGCTCGTCGAAATGAATTCTCCAGAATTTTTGGAAAGTTTTTAGGTGCTCGAAAAGCTTTCAAAAATTCAAAATTTTTTTTTGAAGTGAAATTTGGGCAATTACCCAATGCCATTTTCTTGTAGATTTCGATTTATAGAAGGTATTTTCACCTTCATTTTTTTGGAAAATTCCAGCAATTTTTCCAAAATCGATAAAATGAAAAGTGAATGAATTATCGAAATAGGTACAAGTTCCATTTTCAAACTGCATTTTTTGTAAATTTTGGTCCGGAACCATTAACAAGTTATGTTTTTCGAATCAGTTGGTCAAATTGTATTTCCGAGAATTTTTAGGCTACTTTTCAAAAATATAAATTTTTCCCTCCTAGGAATTTTTGACCGTTTTCGAGCAGCCTTCTAAAATTATCAAATCACATTTTCTTATAGATTTAGACTGCGGAAATTTTGTTTGGGATTTTTTCAAAAATTTCTACAGAGTTTCCAAAATTAGTAAAAACCGATTTATTCAAAATTCTTGCTCCGACACCATCAACAAATTGTGTTTTTCTAATCATTCCGTCGAACTGCAGTTTCCAGAATTTTTTGACGATTTTTTCGCAACTTTCCAAAACTTTCAAATATTCAAGTAGTACGAATTTCGACCGTTTCTCTAGTACCTTTTGAAAATTACCTGAAGGCAGTTTGTTGTTGATTGTAGAATTTATTTTTGGCTTCATTTTTTCGAAAATTTCTCTAAAATCGATAAAATGAAAATTCACAATTTTCGACATATTATTGTTTAACAAATATATTTGCAAACGGTTTTTTTCGAATTTCCGGGACCAATTATAAATTATTTTTGAGTCAGCCCGAAATATCTTAGTTTTTCTTAATTTTGAGATGTTTAACGTTTTTCAAGCACTCTTCGAAAATTATCCAAAGGCATTTTTTTGTAGATTTTCGTCTTCATTTCTTCGAGAATCACGATTTTTAAGACCATCAAAATTTCAACTTCAAACTGAATTTTTTGAAAATCTTAGTCCAGGATCATCAACATATTATGTTTTTCGAATCAGTTCGTCGATTATCCCATTAAATTCAGCCATTTCGACTTGTATACGTTATTTTCAGCTTCATTTCTTCTAAAATTTAAAAATTTCCAAAATCGATAATATGAAAAATGACAACTTTCGAGATATTAGAAATGACATTTTTGAACCGAGTTTTTTTAAAGTGTTGCTCTGGGACCATTAACAAATTATGTTTTTCAAATCAACTCGTTGAAATATATTCTGCAGAATTTTTAGGTAACTTTTCTCAAAAATTTTATTTTTACAATGATTTCACCCCTATGAATTTTTGACCGTTTTCGACCAGTCTTCGAAAACTACCTCAAGACATTTTCTTGTAGATTTCGACTAGTGGAAGATTTGTATCGGCTTTTTAAAAAATTCCTACAATTTTTCCAAATTTGAAGTTATACTTTGCTTGAATCGTTAAAATGAAAACTGGTAAATTTCCAGTTATTTTAAAAACTCCATTTTCACACCAAAATTTTCGAAAATTTTGCTCCGGGATCATCAACACGTTGTGTTTTTCCAATCATTTCGTCGAAATGTAGTTCCCGGAATTTCTTGAGGATTTTAACGCAACTTTTCAAAACTTTCTTTAGAAATTATGTTCTAATCTCTAGCAGAGATGTTGCAGTATTTCACTGGGGTCAAGCAGGACTTATTAGAATAATTTATGACCAGCAATAAACGCACAGACGTTGTCCTTTCACAACATCTACAACATTTCTTTCCTCTGAAGTTCAAAAGTGCGTTTGAGAGCTCGTTCATTGTATACGTCTGCATATGCTCTTGTGTGCATATGCAGATTTGATCTGGTAGAACGTAAAGTAGGAGGTAGCAATTTTTTTACTCGACAGTTAAGCTCAGTTTTACTTCCACAGGTTAACCTTAGTGTGTACGACTTTGAAATTATTTTCCGAATTTGAATTTTCACCGAAAATGCCAAAATTTGCTCATTTTAATGTATTTTTCCCTGTACTGCGTTGAATCGAATAGACCATCGCATTTTTTAAGGCTTTATAATGATCGGGCGCTCCTTTTGACAGATGCAAAGGCTCAAAGCATTAATTTAGACGCGATGATTGGCAAAATACCGGTTGTAATGTTATTTTTTTATGCAAAATCTGATGAAACTGCACAAAAACTTGCATGCAAGCCGAGGTTGAGGTGGTTTTTATCACATGGTGCTTTGTCCATCTTGACTACCTTGGTGAATCGTCTCACGTTTCGTGCTCAAAAGAAATTCTGTAGCTGTTCTTATATAAACGCCTATTCTTACCTTAATTCCAACTATAAACATTTTAATATTTACGTTACAATGACGTTGTTTCGCGGTATCTGCAAAAAATAAAATCCAATTTTTACCAACAATCATAGGTCATCAACATTTTTGCGATTTTTTTGTAAACCTTTGCATTGCCAAAAAAATTGAAGTCTAGGGAGACGCTAATGAAAATCTACAAAAATATATAGGTGTTCTATTGAAAAAAACTTAGTTATGTGACTCAAAAATAAAACACTGTATACTCATGGTGCTCACCCTGTATATTAGTTTTCAAAGTAATATGAAATTAAAAATGTCAAAAACGCGCCATGAAAACGTAGAAAATTTCACTCTGGTTCAGTGTTTATTCGAATACCATAGTTTCTTTTTACTGTCTCACAATAAAAAATTTGGTAAAACGAATTGTTTTAATTGTTATGTACCCATGTACACTAGAATAAGCAAGGTCATAAAGTCCATTATGGAAAGTGATATTTACTGGATCAGATCTGGGTCACCAGTAATGTACGAAGTAAACAAAATACGTACTTCATTAAATCATAATACTGTTTTAATGTGAAATTCTTCTTAGCTCCTTTTCTTTTTATTTATACTATATATACTAGCTATATCTGGACGTCCTTCATTATCATTCTGATCTATTTTGGGTATTTAAGTAAAAATATTTCAGCCTCATTCATTTGACCCAGTGATAGATATTTTGAAACCTTGATATTTACGTTCAGTTTTTTCACTATTGAATCTGAATCTAACTTTACATTTACCCCTTCACTGACTTCTCCCGCTGGTGTACAAAATTCTTAAAATTCCCTCCCAGCTACAGTAACACTAAACTTCCATTTTCACAAGTATTTTTCTTGTAACGAGACACTGTTTGATCTAGCAATAAAATGTTTTGTTACATTGTTGATGTTGATTTATCGAGCTTCGCGTCAAAATTTCATCAATATATCCATCATACATTCCTTATCCAGTAAGTCCAGATAGAACCGCTAGTTTTTCTTGAGCCATTTCTGCTCTATTTGTTGTAATGTGACACTCAATCTATCTACTTTTCCAACTGTAACCCAATCATACGAATTCAAGATCAAATCTTTTTATTGTTCCTGTTGATGTACGATGAACGTTCGGCTCATTCTTTTTGACATTATCTTGGCAGGTCATCAACACTTTTAAATTTGAATTGAATCGTTCCTTTATTCCTGTTATTCGAACTTATCAGCGACC